TTTTTTTTTTTTTTTTTTTTTTTTTAGCACTAGTTCATCAAGCATCCGACATCGTGAGAAGATACAATACCAACCTTTATCACTCTTGAGAGTAGAGTCGACTCGTTCAACTGCAACGCTTGAGCTGCCGCCTCTTTCGACACGAACTCAACGTAAGCACATCTGAATGTAGAAAAGTGTACAAAAGACGCAACAATTCCCAAATTGCAGTCAGTGGTCCTTTGGGGGGACATCCATGAAAATAGGAACGATGCAGAGAAGAATAGCATTTGACAAATAGAGAAAAGGAATGGGGGAAAAAAAGAAGAGAAATTGCAGTCAGTTGGTTCTCTTGAGATGATCCAGCAACCGAAGCTCAAATTTGCTCTATCGTTCTTGGACATATGGTGACAGAACTGATCATGAGTTCACAATTCAAATCCTGACAAAACCACATAGGTGCAACAATGTTAGGGACCATACCCCCTTTAGCAGTGGCCTACACCCCCGTTAGCGGTATTTTTATTAACATGACATGAGAGGTGGATGCAGAATAAAGTTCAATAAACGTCATAAGTCGATACACGTGTGCAACGAATCGGAGATTTAGGTGGGCTGTGAACTAAGTAGTTAGGCTTTGTCTAACTATTTCGTAGTTTTGAGTCATCCGGGGTTTGATCCATGCACCTATACCCAACAGGGACTGCTCTAAGGTCCTTGTGAGGAGTTACGAGTTCGTAGGCCGCCAGTTTTGGTCTGTCCTAGTGGCATGTCGGCCCTAGGGCTGTAGAGTGAGAGTTGAGCGAAGAAAAGTGTCGAGGCTAATGGGTAACTGGTTCTTTTTCCCTTTATTCTTAGCGGTATGGGGTTCTAGACAGAGAAAAATACGAGCAGCATATCAGTTTTTCTTATAGGAAGTGCTGCTGGAGGTCACGCTCAGGGCTACTACGCTATTTCTGTCTGCGCAGCTATCTTCATCGGCGTTCGTGTTGCCGGCCATAGCCAAGGCCAGCCATTTACTTAATATCTACAACATAGTTTTTTTTACTTTTTTCCAATGCAAGGAAAATGAGCGATAGCGAACTTCAGAAACCAAGCAGTATCATACACATGAGACCAGATAGCCGTGACCTCGAACCAAAAGCAGAATTGCAACACGAGTTCCACCAAATAAGAGCACAGCAAAAGCTCACAAGTGACAATATTGCAATAGTCTCATCATCATCAACAATGAACCAATGTCGACAGCCTGTCTGGCGCTCTGCGCCCAGACTACAAGTGGAAGATCCTATCTAGCCAATCTACAATGCCGCTGGTCCCGTCAACAGCTCCCCGAAGTACGAGCAGATCTCGGCCACTGCCGTTCGCCTCAAGCACCAGGTATGTCTCTCGTATCACTCACAACCTCGATCCCGCACTCACAGATGCCACGTGCACCCAAGGACCACCATGTGCCCCATCCAGCATAGTGCGGCGCAGCTCGGCTATGGCTGCCTGCGCATCCAGCTCGCCCATGAGCGGGTGGGCTCTGGCCAGCGTATAGCGCAACAGCGCTTGCGCAGCATGCAGCCAGTGCCCGAATGCCAAATGTGAGGGCAGGCACTTTCCTAAATGGAAGTGGCCTGCCTGCTGCGTGTGGCCTGGCTGCGCTGGGCCCCTGCCCAGAAGCTTCCGGTAGGCCCCGAGAGGCTGAGCCCCGGTCCAAATGAAAAAGGCAGCCAGGGCCTGGGCGCTCTCAACCAACTGGCGCTGCGCAACTGCCTGAATTTTCCCCAGTTGCATGGTAGCCTGAAAATAGGCATTGTGGCCCCGAGAGGCTGAGCCCCGGTCCAAATGAAAAAGGCAGCCATGGCCTGGGCGCTCTCAACCAACTCGCGCTGCGCAACTGCCTGAATTTTCCCTAGTTGCGTGGTAGCCTGAAAATAGGCATTGTGGCCTTGGTCGGGCCTGCCTTCACTTAGGGCGGCCGACCGTGCTGCTTACAGGGTGAAAGGTGCTCCAGTAGGCCTCGCATTCCCTCCTCCATACTTCGACAGTCCTCTGAGAAGTTCCATTACTCAATCTGGCGCTTTCCTTTCTGCAGTAACTTCTCGTAATGAGCAACAACCTGTGGAGCGGTCTGCATTAGTTCCTCCCCGTAAACCACCTGTCCCCCTTAGGATCAATGTGATGTCTGAACCGAACGCGATATTGCAGCTTTGGTTTAGGAGGACGTCCTCTGCCTGTCGGTCTTGGAGCTGGCATTTCCCTGTGGTCCACGATGTCGTCGATGTCGACCCCTCCATCCATGGTTGGGGGCAGCATTGAGCGTCGCGAGGGAAACTGATCAGTTTCCTCAAATGGTGCAAGCTTAGAGGCGTGAAAGACAGGGTAAGTGCGAAGGTGACCAGGGATCTGAACTACATACGATGGCCCATCCGGATCATCTCCAACGATATCTAGAACCTCCCAGGGTCCAAAGTACTGTGGCATGAGCTTGCGGGAGATCCCGTGCTCTTGTCCCAGTACTGAAGACTTGACCCAGACTCTGTCCCCTACCTGGAATGTAGATGGGCGACGGTGCTTGTTCTAAGATTCTATCATCGCCGCCTGCTCCTTGTGCATCTGTTCTACAGCTTGCTGCATCAGGCGCTCATATCGATAAGCGAATTCTAACGTGCCTGGTGCAGCAGAAGGCTGATTCTCAGGTAGTAGAAGGGCAATCTAGGTTTGAAAGTCAATAGCAGGCTGTTGGGGCGCGGTTCAGCTGCTCTGGTTGTCTGTTTGCCTCTGGGTGGTTGCCGGAGGTCATCTGCAGCTGTGTCCCCTGTTCTGCAGCTGCGGCTTTGCACAGTTCACTGGTGAATCGCACATCTCGGTCACTAATGATAGACTTTGGCGAACCAAAGTCCCTGACCCAGTTTTCTTTGAACAGCTTAATTACGTACTCGGTCTTGGCTGTTGCAGGCATTGCGACTAACGTAGCGTACTTACTAAACCTATCCACAATGACATAGACATATCGCATTCCACCCTTGCTGGTGACCAGCGTGTCCATGAAATCAATGGACAGAGTCTCACCGGGCCTTTCCGGTATCGGAAGGGGCTTGAGGAGCACAAGAGGGGCCTGTGTACGTGGCTCGTCTCTCTGACATACCCGAAAAGTCTCCATGTACGGCTTGGCGTCTCTCATCATTGTGGGCCACCAGAACTGCTGCAGCAAGTTGGCTGCAGTCTTTTTATAGCCAAAATGTCATGTGGCATCATGACACTCACCTAAAAATAAACTACGCAAAGACTCCCGATTAGGCACACACAAACGTTTATCCCCTGCCTTCTCAAGGAACAGCAGGCCGTTGACCAACTCAAACTCGGCAGAAGTGACTTTGTCCTTCGCCTCGAGTCTGCGTATGATCTCAGCCATAAACGGATCCTCGCGATAGGCTTCCACCAAAGAACAAGTAACGTCGTCCGCAAGCCCAAACTCAGTGATCAGCGCACCAAGGAAGTCTGGGCTACGCGACAGCGCATCAGCGACTCTGTTGTACTCTCCTTTTGTTGTACTCTCCTTTGATATATTGAGGTTCGAAGTCATAGTGCTCAATGACTTTGATCCATCGTCTCAACACATCAGAGAGCACTGGCTGGGTTCTCATCCACTTCAAGGTCTGATGATCAGTCCTGACGTAGAAAGAACTCCCAAGGAGGTAGTGCCTCCAGTGGGTCAGCGCTTTATAGACGGCATAGAGCTCCTTCTCATAGGTGGACTTAGCCAACTTCTGAGAGGGCATCTTTTTGGACATGTACTGAACAGGCCTCAACTTTGGCCCCTCCTGCTGCGCGAGCACGGCGCCTATGCCATATTGGCTACCATCCGTGGTTACTATAAATGGCTTGTCAGGATCGGGAAGTTTCAAGACCTCATGGTGTGTCAGAGCATGCTTCAGATGTCTGAAGGCAACCTCACACCTGTCTGTCCACTCCCATGGGCTGTCAAGGCGGGTCAGGTCCATCAAAGGGGCGGCCACTATGCTATAGTTCTTAACAAAATTGAGGTAGTAGCCGGTCATCTCTAGGAAGGACCTCATCTCAGTCACAGACTGAGGACGCAGCCAGTCACGAATGCTGGCCACCTTCGCGTCATCGGGCTTCAATCCCTCCGCGGAAATCTCATGACCCAGGTACAAGATCCGGGTGCGGCCAAACTAGCATTTCTCCCCGTTGATCTTGAACTGGTGCTGTCAAACGAGGCTAAGGACTTTGTCTAAGTGACCAACGTGCTCCTCGACAGTCCTACTAAAAATAAGTATGTCATCGAGGTACACGATGACAAACTTGTCCAAGTAGTCATGAAAGATCCGATTCATGGCGTGCTGAAAGGTGCCAGGAGCATTGCAACGGCAGAAAGGCATCACCACAAACTCGTACAAGCCATACCTTGTCTGAAAAGCGGTTTTGTGTTGATCCTCGGACCGTATTGCAATCTGATGGTACCCGAACTTCAGATCTATCTTACTGAAGTACCAGCAAGTCCAACAAGTCATCGATGCGCGGTAGGGCTCTTTGTTCTTTACAGTGATGGCATCGAGGCCCCTATATAGTCAATGCATGTCCTTAAGGTTCCCCAATTCTTCGGTACGAACAGGACTGCTGACCCGTAATGGGAGACACTGGGCCGGATCCAACCCTTCTCTATGAGTTCCTTGAGCTGTCGGCGAAGCTCATCGAGCTCTGCTGGAGACATCCGATAGATCCTACCCTTCGGGTTACTAGACCCCGGGTCTAATCTCTATCGCGTGGACGACCTCCCTCTCAACAACCCCTTTCGGCTCTTCAAATAGATCAAGGTATTTAACGACTACTCCCTCTATCTCCGGCGGCATTTTCACCAGCTCGCCTGTTGTAGAGACATAAACCAAGTACATCCCCCCGCCGGATTTTGCTTATAATAATTATAAAATGCGTCCGCACACATGCATCCGTAGGACTCAATCAAACTACTAGCCTTAAACTTGTAATTTCGCGGTCCCCTCTCCGGGCAAAGTGTGCTTGACCACTTTTCGGTCCCAATCAAACTAGGGTTGTTCAACCGAAAGGTAGTACATACCCAACAGGATATCCATTGGGAGATCATCGCTGACTAGGAACGAGACTCAATGTCTCAGTTTCCTCCCCGCATACGGGAAAATACACTCAATGTCTTT